GTACATGGACTCATATACACAAATATAAATGCACAGTAATATATATAAGCATTCATGCATACGAGTATGGGAAAGCATAGGTCTACACATAGTACTTTGTATATAGATAGAATAAACATATAGGAATGCATTTTAAAGTGTTGGTACATATGACAGAACAGTAAGATAATGCTGGGAGAGTGTTCATGTAAAGTGTTGGTAGTGGGACAGGAATCCCAAATCAATATTTAGTCCTCTCTTCTTGCTGTTAAACCATTTAATCATTCTGGCTTCAAAGGCTTTTCTTTCCTGGGTATTTTTAAAACTTCCTTTCAGTACTTTGATTTTTAGGTCCTTCAGTGAGTGGCCAGGTTGGGTAAAGTGGTGTCCTACAGGAGTGCAGTAGTGAGTCAGTTCTTTGTGTGGTGTTTAATAGAGTGTCTGTGCATATTCATTCTGCCATTTAATGGCTGGGTGGTTTCCCCAATGTAGCATCCTAGGTGACATTTTATGCATTGAATCATGTATACCACATTGCTGGATGTGCAGGAGTATGAACCTTTAATGCTGTAGGTTTTATTGTTGTGTGTGGCTGTGTTGTCTGTGCATATGTGCTGACACAGTTTGCAGCGAGGTTTTTTGCATTGACTGGTCCCGTTTTCTTCGTTCTTACCATCAGTGGGCAGCCTCCTGTTGATTAATTTTTGTTGGAGGTTTGGTGGTTGTCTGAAGGCCAAAATGGGTGTTTCAGGGAAAATGTTTTTCAGAGTCTCATCTTCTGTTAATATTGGTTGTAGGTCTTTGATGATTTTCCGTATTTCCTCAAGAGCAGGGTTGTAGGTGACCACAAGTGGCACTCGTGTGCATATTTTTTTCTCTCTGTATTGTAGCAGGCGCGTACGTGGCGTTTTTACAGCAGAGTTGATTTGTTTGGTAATAGTCTTTGGTTTGTAGCCTTTCTGTCTCATAGATTGGGAGAGTACATTTAGATGGGAATTACGGTCATTAGGATCAGAGCATATGCGATGGTACCTAGTGGCTTGGCTGTAGATGATGCCCTGTTTAGTATGAGAGGGGTGGAAGCTGGAGCTGTGTAGGTAACTGCACCTGTCTGTGGGTTTTCTGTAAACCGAGGTGTGGATTGTGCCATTATTACATGTCACAGTTGTGTCCAGAAAATTCACAGATCTAGTGGAATATTCCATTTTTAGTTTGATTGATGGATGGAATGTGTTGAAAGAGTCATGGAACTGTATCAGTTTTTCTTTGCTTTCAGTCCAAATTATGAAGATATCATCGATGTAGCGATAATATTTGTATGGTTTGGTGTGTTGGTTATCTAGGAATCTCTGTTCAAGATCTGCCATAAACAGATTAGCATATTGGGGTGCCATCTTAGTGCCCATAGCAGTGCCCATGGTTTGTAGGTAAACCTCATTGTTGAAACTGAAGTAGTTATGTGTGAGGATAAATAGTGCCAGTTCTGTGATAATTCGGGGGCTGTATTTTTGGTTGTTGACATGAGAGAAAATGGAAGCAAGCATTGATGCCATCTGTATGTGGAATGTTGCTGTACAGAGATTCCACATCCATGGTTACAAGGATGGTGTTAGCAGGGAGATTGGTGATTTGGCTGAGTTTGTTGAGGAAGTCGGTTGTGTCTTTTATGAAGCTGTTAGTGTTGGTGACTAGAGGTTTTAGGGTATTTTCTACCAGTCCTGAGATCTGTTCTGTGAGAGTTCCCATTCCTGTAATTATGGGTCTTCCAGGATTACCTGGCTTTGTGAATTTTGGGAAGCATATAGAAAGTGCCCATGCAGGGACTAGTTGGTATGAGTGATTGCAGTTCTAGGTGTAAGTTCTCAGGGAAGGATTTAATGAGCTCCCTAAGTTGTGATGTATATTCCTTGGTGGGGTCTTCATTTAGTTTTCTATAGTATTTGTCATCTGACAATTGCCTGTCACCCTCTTTTATGTAGCCCTTGGTGTTCATTATCACTACTGCTCCTCCCTTGTCTGCTGGTTTGATGGTGATAGCATGATTATTTTTCAGGTCATTTATAGCCATTTGTTCCTGTACTGAGAGATTATGAAACATTTTCTTTTGGTTTTGCTTGGTTGTCAAGGATACTGTTCTTAGACGGAAACTTTCAATGTAACTGTCCAGTTTGGAAGAACGAAGAAAACGGGACCAGTCAATGCAAAAAACCTCGCTGCAAACTGTGTCAGCACATATGCACAGACAACACAGCCACACACAACAATAAAACCTACAGCATTAAAGGTTCATACTCCTGCACATCCAGCAATGTGGTATACATGATTCAATGCATAAAATGTCACCTAGGATGCTACATTGGGGAAACCACCCAGCCATTAAATGGCAGAATGAATATGCACAGACACTCTATTAAACACCACAAAGAAGACTCATACTGCACTCCTGTAGGACACCACTTTACCCAACCTGGCCACTCACTGAAGGACCTAAAAATCAAAGTACTGAAAGGGAGTTTTAAAAATACCCAGGAAAGAAAAGCCTTTGAAGCCAGAATGATTAAATGGTTTAACAGCAAGAAGAGAGGACTAAATATTGATTTGGGATTCCTGTCCCACTACCAACACTTTACATGAACACTCTCCCAGCATTATCTTACTGTTCTGTCATATGTACCAACACTTTAAAATGCATTCCTATATGTTTATTCTATCTATATACAAAGTACTATGTGTAGACCTATGCTTTCCCATACTCGTATGAATGAATGCTTATATATATTACTGTGCATTTATATTTGTGTATATGAGTCCATGTGCATGTATGTATATGTGTTTATGTATATATACATATGTTTATGCGTTCACATATACATATTTCTGTGTGTGTGCATGTATAAAGTGTATCATCCTGTGCACTGTCTGCTTGTTTGTTTTTCTTTTCCCTCTCTCCCCCCTACTCTTCTTTTCAACAAGATATTTATGACCCTCTGCTAAGATGGTGTCTATTTTCTAACAAACCTGTGTCTTATCTACACTCATGTCGCTTTAACCCCTGTATCACAACTCAACTTTGAATTCTATGTGTCGTTTTGCTCAGAAATGCTTCAGACTTGAGAAAGGGAGGTTCTCCCGAAAGCTTGTCATTAAAAAATTCTGTTAGTCCAATAAAAAAGGTATTACAAGATAAGAATTTTATCTGTTTTTTACATCTATATATATATATATATATTTATGTAATAATTTTACATAATTAGGTCATTTTATTAATTGCAATTTGCAGTACCTGCCTGACAACCCAGGCCGTAAGTTCAGGGAATTTAATTTTCTAGCAATATATTTAACCCTGTAACTTTCCAAGACACCATAAAACCTGTACATGGAGGGTACTGTTTTACTCGGAAGACTTCGCTGAACACAAATATTAGTGTTTCAAAACAGTAAAATGTATTACAAAGACGATATCGTCAGTGACAGTGACTATTTTGCATTTCTCACACACAAATGGCACTTACACTGACGATATAATTGTTGTGATACGTTTTACTGTTATGAAACACTAATATTTCTGAGTATAACAGTACCCCTCATGTACAGGCAGGTAGTACAGGTTTTATGGTGTTTTCAAAAGTTACAGAGTCAAATATAAGGCTTGCGTTTCAGTTTTTTCACATTAAAATTCACCAGGTTGACTCTGAAACCCAGGGTATTGCAAATGGGGTATGTTCAGTCTTTTTTAGTAGCCACTTAGTCACAAACACTGGCCAAAATTTGCGTTCAAATTAGTTTCTTGCATTTTCAAATATTAACACTAACTTTGGCCAGTGTTTGTGACCAAGTGGCTACTAAAAAAGACTGGACATACTCCATTTGCAATACCTTGGGTTATCTACTTTTGCAAATGGCATGCCATCATGGGGATAATTCTTATTCCTGGGCTACCATATGGTCTCAAAGGCAACGTAACCAATCTGGTGAATTTCAATGTGAAAAAACTGAAATATGTAACACGCTTTATTTTACCCTGTAACTTCCCAAAACACCATAAAACCTGTACATAGGGGGTACTGTTTTACACGTGGGACATCGCTGAATACAAATATATGTATGTTAGTGCAGTAAAAGCAAACAGTATTTTGACATTCACAGTTAAAATGTCACGTAGAACTAAAAAGTTTTTAAAAATTCTTATTTTCTCCCGTTTTTTAATATTTTTTTCATATTAATTTATGTTCCATACCTAAATATTTGATGTTAAATGAAAGCCCTGTTTCCCCTGAATAAAATGATATATAATAAGTGTGGGTGCATTTAATATGAAAGAGGTGAATTACGGTTGGACAGACATACAGCGCAAATGCCAGGTTTTGTTTACGTTTTGTTTTGATCACAACTTGTACATTTGGCTGCGGTCTTAAGGGGTTAAAGACTTGTGTTGGATGCCCAAATCTATTACTTTCTTGGATAAGATATTTAAATCTTTAGAATTTTTAGCAATTTCCTGGACAATTGAGCTCTTTAAATCTTTCAATAAATCAATCATTACCTCCTTCATGGTAGCTATCGTAAGCTGTTCCTCTCTCTGACTATCCACCTCTACTGGCTCATCTACTAAAGATGACTCGGCTGAGGTCATTACACTATCTGAATGATCTTATTATTTTTTCGTCCCCGATGTTAATACTGACTCCACAGAAATTTTACGTTTAACAATAGGAGCAAAAAAATTACTTGTCAGGTTTTCATTATCTTTCTCCTTTTCCTTACCTTTACCGTTTGAACTTTGATTATGCTTGTTTTTCATTTTATCCCCTCTTTTAACAACAGTTTAAGAAACTAAAATATTTACAGTCACTATAAATCACAAGATCAAGCCAAAGGTTTTAAGTTACAAAGAAAAAAAACAAAACAAAAAAAACAGTTAGATTGTAATTCGAGCAACTTCTGCCAGAGTCGGCACCCTGTTATATTTACGCTGATCAGTCAAATATCAACAATCTCTATAGGCAGCCTGGATACATATATATATACATATAGCTGGAATCGTCCCTTCAGTCTCTCCTTATGTCCCAGCTGATCCTTTAACATTAATTGCTTTTGTATCAAAACAAAAAACAACTTTAAATTAAGCCTTTATGGAGATTCACAGAGTTTTAAATTTTCCTTCATGCGTCGGTAATGGATGCAGACGAAAAAAAAAGGAGCTCCAATAATGTTCAATTTCATAGAAAAATAGAGCAAATATGAGATTAACATAGGCACTGGGTTCAGCACATTGTCTCTTCTGCCTTTGTTTTAAAACATTGATGATACCAGCAAGAGAAAAAAATTGCAAAATTACCAAAAAATTACAAAAAAAGAGAATAAAAAAGAGAGCTTTCTACAACAATTATACTAAGAGATCATTTGCTATCCATCCCCCCGGGAGGCAACCAAAATACAGGAGACAAGTATATAACAAAAAGGGATACACGCCATTTTAGCCATAAAATGAATAGGCAGGGCAGCATGGCTTAGTAAGATGGACATGAAAAATGCGTACAAACTACTTCCCATTATTCCATCACTATAGCAATTACATGGAGTGAAATGGAGAGAAAATTACTACTTTGCTACCACATTGACCTTTGTGGCCAAAAGCAGCCCGATGCTCTTTGATGTCTTTGAGGGAACCCTATGTTGGCTCCTCAATATAATCAAATGTGCGGTTGTTATCCACTACCTGCATGACTTCTTGACAATTGAGGATAGTTTGTTGATTCCACAAAGCCTGAACAAGGCAGAGGCTTTGTTTTCCTGCTTATGCTTTCCACTTTCACAAGACAAGACCACTGGATCCACCACTTGCCTGGTATTCCTTAGTATACAATTAAACACATTCCTCTTAGAGGCTAGCCTCCCCTCGGACAAGCTCCTGAGAATCAAAAATTACGTGCATGAATTCATGAGGATCAGAGCTTGTTCATGGAAAGACTTACTATCTTTATTAGCACTCTTAACTTTGCCATGCAAATCATCCCTCAGGGTCGGTCATTTATTTCCAGGCTATTGTGCCTCCCACCTGATGCCCTGGATAGCCACAGCAAAATTACTAATTGAAGATGTTAAAGAAGATTTAGTCATAGTACAACAACGCATAGCTGAATGAGAGACCAAAGAAGCTCTCCTCCTATCTTCTACCGAAGCAGTGCCTACAATATTGAGATTGGAACAGAACGTGAAAATAGACTTAATCAGATTTAAAAGGAAGAAACAAGACAAAGTGAAAAGCAATTACACAGAACACTGAGAATACAAGTGGCTCAGTAGAAACACTGAGACCCTGCAGTTTGGAAGATGGAGGACCCCCATCAGGAAATCATGACGGTACACAATAGACAAGACATCAGCAGAGTCTACATCGGATTCAGATACCTACAATATATCTGCTACTTCTAGATCCTCTAACCAAGTAACTTTTTAAAGACAGAATGCATCTTTCCTGCCTAAGGACCAGACAGCAACTAGATCAAGGAGACACATAACAAGGAGGGGACAGAGTGGTAGGACTTTCTAGGGTAAGAGGCAAACCAATGGAGATGATTCCTATCTTTAACCTCTCTTCACGCGCTTTAACAATGGAGTAGAATCAAGTCTTAATGAAAGGCTCATTTATGACCAAAACCAACATGAAGTGGAATTATACAAATTTGTTCCATATTTGTTTGGGTTTAAAGGATTTTTTTCAAACATTCCAAACAAACTCAAGAGGGACATACATATCTCTTTAAACCCAAAAGCCTCTTTGATCCTCTACCAAACCAACCTTCCATTAACTCTTTTTTTCAGATCAGTGAAACATGAATCAACAACCTATTTGAACAATAAAATACACTATGCTACCATCATATCCTATCAGGAAAGAAAGATCATTAAATCCTTGGCAATTGATACAAAGCAGGTAATTAGACCAGCAGACAAAGGAGGAGGGATTGTGCTGCTTAAATACGAGGACTATAGAGGAGAACTCTTATCACAACTAAATGATATTGATACATATCAAAGACTACCCACGGATCCAACAACTGAAATCATGAG